TCGATAACCATGCTCTCGCCACCCATCCAGTCTTCATGGACGATAATGCCAGACCACACCATGCTCGAGCTGTTGTTCAGCATCTCCAACACAACGCCATTGAGACACTACCTTGGCCTGCCAGAAGTCCAGACATTAATCCTATTGAGCATTTGTGGGACATTTTGGGACGTAGGGTGAGAGCAAGGGATGCTCCAGTTCAGAACCTTCAGGAATTGACATATGCATTGCATGATGAGTTGCAGCAGATCCCCCAACAGAGATTCAGACGTCTGGTGACCAGCATGTGAGACGGCGTGTAGAACATGTTATCCTAGTGCGAGGCGGTTACACCAGATACTGTGTTAGCCAGTCATTGGGGACCTTACTAGTGTGTTCGACATTAATGAAATGTGAACTGTGTTGTGTGTCTGTTGTAACGACTCCGGCAGCCATACTTATTTCACCTTATTTCACGGTGATATTAGTGAACGTTAGTTTGCTACAATTAAACCCTCAATTAGTGCTCAAATTCGATCTTGTGTTGTCAATTTTCCGACTGAACGCTCACATGAGGCCATATAAACATTTTAATGTGCTTTTCTAAGCACCATTTTTATGAGGTTGAAGATCCAGTTTTACTTATTGAAAAAAGTGGGTGGTGTGATATTTATGATGAGGTGCAAATTTCAACAATATTTTTTGCATTATTTTGCACACGAGAGGTAAAGAGAGAAAAACTTAATTTTGAAGAAGTTTTAACACTTCCTTACCAACAAACAGAAAAGTTCCTGTGTATAACATCATTCACGTCTCTCTCTCTGTGTACATGACATAATTCACAACATTGTGACCCAAACTGCCAAGTAGAGCAAGCGAAGTCCTCAAAGCTGCTGTTTGACTGACAGGTCGTTTGGGAGAATAATATAAAACAAACTCTAGTATGCATGATGGCTAGTTCAGGCTACTGTGGTCGTGAGCATCCTGCCCGGAAATATGCATAAACATGGTACAAGGTAATCCCTTATCCTTACAACTGCATCTTTTCGAATTACAAGGGGGTTCACATTTGCAGCCACATCTGATCATTTCCAAAATGTAGTCTGGGGCAGGCTTTGTGTTGTCGAGTAAAGTGGTTGGGCACAGTGATTTGTTGTTTGTATCTTTCTTCCAACCAAAATCTTCTGAGTTCAGTAACTCAGGGTTAACATGGATAGCAACATTGTATTGTATTGTTTTTTACTTAGCAGAATTCTCCCTAGAAAAATATATATAGCGTATTGGTATGGTCAGAAGGCCTGCCAAACCTAAAACGTTAACTGGTGTAGTATCATTTCTATCTAAACTAGACCTGCAATCTACCAATGAATGTCAAGAATGACCTTTTTTCACTTGAAGGGAGATCAATTCCAGTGTATTTCCTTGGATATGCTGCTATGGATTCCTTCACCTACAGGATTCTTTAGAGTTGTGGCACTAACCTTAGTGTATAAATAGGGATTTTAATGGTACAGGAAGGGCTTTTTGTGAATTACAGCGTATTGGCCTTGCTAAGGTATATAAATCTTACATCACACCGAAGCCTAAGCAAAGCTTTAGTGGCTCCCGTATGGCGTTTCAGTGTCTTACTCTCTCAGAAAAGGAAGTAACATGTATAAACTCACTATCATAAAGGATTTCTAAAGCTGGGGTAGATGAACAATTACAACGGACGTTCTATTCTATTGCTGGTTGAGGGGATATTTTTCTGGACCACCTTGTATAATGCAGAAAGTTTGATAATCTGCAAAACGATTGCAGCACACACTAATTACAGATGCTAGCCTCATCTGAATATACATTGCCTTAAAACCAGCCTTTACTATCGTGGTGATTTAACAGGCATTATTCTGGTGGTGCTATAGCACATGCACTTACATTTGTTGACTTCGAAGCAGTTGAAAACTAAGATCTGGCATACTTTTACTGGACTGAAAACATTAAACAATGGAAAAGCAGATATGTGTGTTTTTAACAGGAAGAATAGGTAACTAAGTACTCCTGAGTGATAACTTTAAACTATTCCAAGAAAAAGCCTTGCATTGAATTTTACATTTCGTATACTCAACTGGCATAATCCAGACTCCATAAATTAACCAGGAAAGGGTTAAACCCTCCCCACAAAACCTCAAAGACAAAACCTCAAACCTAAAAAACTACCCCCAACCTCCCAACTTCCCAACCCACCACCACACACACACACACACAGTAACCATAGCGAACATACACCCCCGCCCCCTACCAAAACAAATCCCCACCCCACAACACACACACACAAACACAACCCCCCTCATCCCTAAACCAGCCCTCCTTCTAAACCATAACACATGCCCCCAAACCCAATTTAAATCAGCCCTCCCCATACCACTACCACTACCACCAAACCCATCCCCATCACAACCCTCAGACCCAACAAGTTCGAAAGTTCATAGTGACACCTGGGGCAGTGACCACTGCCCAATCAAAATACCCCTTAATGTACTAAACAACCCCCCTTTAGCTAACGAGCAAACTTTGCTAAACAGCCAGTAAACAAATTTCAAAGAAGCACACTGGAAGTTGTTTATTTAACTCTGCTAGCATTTGCGCTACACAATTGCAAAGTACCATCACAGACATTTTTAGCCCTAACTTCACCAATACAACACTTGAACTTGCTACTAAATGGGACACAAGAAATGGGCTTCACACATTGTACCCATGTCGGGAATCGAACCCGGGTCTTCAGCGTGACGAGCGAACGATTTAACCACTAGGCTACCCGACCGCCCCTTATAATTTCAGACTCTCTTGGTTCTAAAGAACGGATTCTTAACAAATGATCAAACAGCTGACCTTACTTAATGAATAACATCACCCATCTTACATCAGTATTACGATCACTCAATAAAACAGCTGACATACTTACATTTCTCCTCCTCTAAGGCCGAAATATAACAAGCATCAACATCCTAAATTTCCAAACATTTATTCAAAATTCTAAATGCATCTATTTAAAATCTCTTTTCACTAAATCTATATATCAGTGCCACAACTATAAACTTTTACGCCATCACAATAATATTTGAATAAGTATAGTTTAGTATCAAATTAATATGAAATATCTAGATGGGGGGTGTTAAGCTGATAGTAACTGTTATGAAAGGGGCAATAAATAAAGAAAATAAGGTTATAATTAAAAAGCCCGGTTTAAAAAAGGTTTGGCTTTTGGGCGAGATGAGGTGACAACGTGTCGGCATTGTTGTGTTGTGAGTGTGAGATGGAGTGCCCTTGAACTTGATGGTAGTTGTCTGGTTACATGAACATGGGGAAGTTTGGCGCGCGGACGTCGTAGAAGACAGTGTGCGTTAAGAATTTCGTTTCCGATTCGAAATTGGACGTTGTTTACATTTAGTGTGTTAGGGGATGACTTTATTTGGGATCAGGATCACAATTCTAAACGCGGATGTCTTTTACGAACTTCCAAGCGCTGAACAACAGTTTAACCAGCCACACTCCATCCTCCATCGCTCACCCCACGCTCTCAACACCACAACATTGCCACCAATCACCATTCACCCCTCCCGCATTGGGCAGCATTTTTAACATAGAAAATAGGTTTAGCCCAGTTATTCTTTATTTCACAGGCTTTTAATTTAAATATCAGCTCAACTGATTCACATAATGTTATCACATTACACCTTACCACCAGCCCTCATTTATTTATTTATTTATTTATTTATTTACGCTTTTACTGCGTCTGGTTTGGTCCCTTCTTTCCTTACAGCCAATTTCCTTTTTCCTTCCTTCTTTATTAGTCATATTTTCTATCTAATTAATTAATCCTTAGTCTATAGTCCTATACGTAGCCACTATAAGGTGGACCCCTTTCTTTACTTTCTTAATTTGTATTTGCCTTTGATTTGTTCCTCTCTTCCGTTCGCTGCACTTACTATGCTAATCTCTCTTACCTACACCACTTTACCATTTTTATTTCATTAATTTGGTCCCATAATTTACAGGTGTTTGGGTCAGGTATTTAGATGTCATTGCTGCTAATTATATATGTATATATGTATATGTATACATATCCAAATCCAAATATATATATTTCCAAATTTACCCTCACCTGACCCATACAGCGAAACAGACCGAGTGTGAAGCGGTCGTCAAATCTACAAAACTAACTTTATTTGGGAAGTCTAAAATTGGTGTATTTATTGTTCCTGCTTGCATTATAAAAATGTCTACTATATCATCCAGTGGTCAGATTTTGCTAGGATCTGAGCAGACATTGTGCAGTTTCAATTTGTCATCAACTTAGTTATTGCCGGAAAAAAAGGAAAATGTAGTTCAGTTAAGTCATTTAAAAAGATGGACGTTTTAAGTTCAGCATATATCAAATGACAAAATGTCACTTCAAATAAAATGTAATCTCATTGTCCACGTTCGCCTTCAAAAAGAATTTTTAAAACAATATCGTTCCACCAGACTTTGCATGTTTCCTTCATCAAAATTAACCTTTCTTGTAGAAAAGACGAGTTTCTTGCCAAAGCAAACGCCTGTATCAAAACGGTGCCTTCTACTTCTCCAAGCACTAAATCTTAACCTCTCCATTGACTTGACTCAAATGATGTAAATTGATTGATATTATAATGACTACCCTAAAAAGTACACCAGTGCATTTAAACACAACCACTTTTCACCCTTTGTCCACGTGGGTATTTTTACCCTTGGGGTATTCTTCCCCAGCGAGTGCATATAAACAATGCTTGAAACATCATAATCCAGACAACCTGGCAGTATATAGTGGGACAAATATACATATGTGGGCACTTCCATGTGAATAGTAAAGGTATCACGACTTTGATAACGTTTACTTTATATTACATTATTTACAAACTATATAGACTGTGATTTGTGAGGAGAGGTGTGTGGTATGGAGGACATACTGCTAGCTCACATATGGTGAGAACCAATCAGGTAATTTACAGAAATATTGTCTATGAAGATGTACCAATATTACCTGATGTCTCAGCTGTCTGCTCCTCAAACTCACTCAACTCCCGCACCTCCACCTCCATCATGATATCTTCAATTGATGGGTTCAGCTCCTGCAGGAAGTGTAGGATGTCCTCTTTGATGTCTGCGTGCTTAACAATCATACCAATTGCATCTTCCATGGACTCATGTTCAAAACAAAACACCATACACCCCCAATAAACAACTACCAGTGAATCAGCAAACAGTTCCTTCAGTACAGTCTTTACACTTTCATTGTCAATATCGGTCGGTTGAGGAATATTTTCATGTTTGGCCTTCCAGCATGATACGACAGTAGCTTTTCCAGAGGGGGGATTGATGATAATCGTGTTGTTAACTGTTCTGTTGTCTTAAAAACAGAACAATAACCAAACACATCAAAGACATTCATAGGCTAAAATGGCAACATAAGTAAACTATTATCACAGCTATCTTCACCTTCTAGCATACATCTGCCTAGCATGTATCAAACACTCCAATCACAATCAAATCCCTGGCATTCCCCAGCATATCTCTGTCTTTAGGATTGCAACAAGTAACACAGAATGGAAGACATACATTTCTACTCGAAGACTATGTATCTGAAACCTTCCATGAAAGATATTAAAGTCCATGATTGATTTATTAAAAAAGCAAAGACATCAGACGTAAAGATGTTCAGTCATACCTTGATTAAATTCTTTTGTGTTAATTTGCCCGGCTGAAACGGATTTGTCTGCCCTGCTGTTGCCAGTCATTGCAGTTTTCGTTACACTATCTACAAAATAAAGCAAAGGTTAGACACTGCATACAGATATTATCTGTAAATATCCCAGTTAGACATATTCTACAGTTTCATTATTGACCAAATACTAAGATTACAATAATACACTTGGCTAGTCTTTTGGAAATAAGTGAATACGTCACACTGAAAGGTGTGGAGAAACTAAAGTGAAGGTATAGGAGATGGCTTCCCACATCATCGCATTACCACCGCCAAATATGTCCACTTCCTGTGTGCAGTCTCGTGCATAGCGTTCCCCCCGAAGCCTGTAAACACGATGTCTACCATCCGCACGGCAAAGCATAAAACGTGACTCGTTAGGAAACCAAAATTTTCTCCATCACAGTCGGGACCATACTCTGTGACCTTGACACCACTGACGTCGCAGCCGACGATGCAGATCCATCAAAAAGGTTCATCACCCTCTGGGCTAATACCCTACGGAATCCTGGTATTGCCGTGGTTGAACAGGTGGCCGTGGTGGTTCTTTCACGTACGTGGCATAGCCGTATAAATCTGTCCTGTGCTCCAGTAGTGATACGTGGTCGACCGAATCCGGGAAGGTCACATGTTGACCCGTGTGTCTAATAGCATTATCACACTCTTGTAATTGTGCTACGTGGAAAAACCTGGCTACAGCTAAAGAGAATTCTCCTGTTTGCAGTCGGCCGATGGCGTTTTTGCGTTTGGCTTCTGTCAGTCGTGGCACTTTCGGTGTTTATTTGCTGTTTGATTGTGATGGCATAAGAATGAAATCCAAACATTTTCATAGCCCAACAAGTGATGTTGCATGTTCATATCATGTTGATGTGTTTTGGCGCCAGGCTCTCACGCGGTTGTGTTTTTTGCGATTTTTCAATGTTTCCGAAACATTTCTGCAGTACCTCATTCATTCCACACAAACCAATCCCAATCCATGCAGAAATTACCAATTTAATTGTTCCATTAAGTTTGTATGGATATCGGAAACACTGTGTCAGATATTTACGATTTTACTACTTTTCTGTTTCTTTTTTGGCAGAGTATATGTCAGCTCTATCTACTCACTGGCAACACCGGAGTGAACCAATGCATGTCACCATTATTCCCGTCCGGTCAACGCTAAACTTGGTCAATGAAGATGTCAAGACAGTTACGTAAGCCATGATTTGAGATCAATTACTGGTAGTTCTGCTCCCTTGATCCATTATGTACAAGTTGAGTATGTCTATGTATTAAGTACACTTGCTTGACAAACAGTAGTACCCTTTTTGATTGCTGAATAGGTATTGTGGTTTCACATTCATTCTAATTGCTGTTACAGAAGCGATCACCAACTTGCAAATTCACAAAGAAACAATTTTAAAACTCAAAGTGTTTGCTTACCATATTCGCCAATCGAAAAACCTGTCAAGCAGGGGCGCATCTCTTTGGAGAGTAACGGTGATGGGAATCCTACACAAGTTGAACGTATTTGGCATTCACTGTAACCTACATAGAAGGTTTATTGGTCATCTGCAGGTCTGTTTATAGCAGCTCGTGATAACGAAGTGTTCCCAGAAATTTGTATTTCTGTGTGGCATTTCGTAAAAAAAGAATATACTGTGTGTTTCAATATAATATTTAATTATTCATTGATGGTGTGTTGTTATTTACTAACTTCACAATTTAATTCCTTGTTCCTGGATTTCTTGGTTAACATCTAAGTTTCAAGTTGGGGGTCACCTAATGTAATCACATGTACAACCATCTAATTAACAATCTGGACAAACAAGAACAAAATGCTTATACCAGTTGAGAGGTGAGAGGCCTCCTCGTCCTCCTGGGCATGTGGGATGTCATCGTGCCTCTCCTGGGTATGTCAGTGATGTGCGTCCACGTCATCCTCATGTTTGGAGCTGAACAGAACGTCTTGATCCGTCGTTCCTCTGGGCGAAGTTTCTGTGAACAAATGATGAAAAGAAACCATCTATCATAATACTGAAGATGAGATGTATTCTGCGTGCCACTGACAACATAATACAAGGACAGGGCAAGGACGTTTACTTGGACCCCAGCCGACTTTGGAATATTTGGAAACAAAGAAGCTGCACCATTGGTCAACTTAGGCTTACGACATGGTTTGGAACAAAGGCGTATACTAAATTTCATCCACTCTTTTCTAACGGACAGAAAGATAACAGCTAAATCACATAAAACACTATCTAACACATACCCATTACAAAATGGCACCCTGCAAGGTATTATCCTGTCGCCAACCCTTTTTAATTTCATGAGTAATATTTTTCCAAATTCCGACCAAAATAAAAATTTATCACCAGCAAAATTTGCAGATGACATTTCTCTCTGGTACTCCTCCACTTCAATAAACAAGCACAAACTAAATCCCAATCTGCATTAAATATAATCCAAAACCGGGTTTAACAAATGGGGATTTCAAATCAATACCCCCAAAAGATTGGCTTTCTGTTACTATAAAAATACAACTTTTACAACACATTCTACACCCAAACTAAACTTACATAAAGAAGAAATCATTTTCCAAAAATAAGCAAATTACTAGGAGTAACATTTGGCCTACACCTAACATAGACACCCCATATTCATAACCTGGTCAAGTCATGCCAAAACATTTACATCTAATGACGCTTATCTGGGGCCCTGACTAGGGTGCTGACACCCAAACCCTCTAAAATGTAAACAAAACACGTATACAGGGTTTTACCTTCACTCACAAAAGTGGTGTCCAGGGGACCCCCAATAATTAAGCCTAAGGGTCTGTATGACAGTATGATTGTCCTGTAAAGTAAGGGTGTTGTTTTCTGTACGTTGAGATAATTACTTTAGTGAGTGAGTGAGTTGGGCTTAACGCCGCTTTTAACAATATTCCAGTTATATCGCGGCGTGTCAGCTTAATGTGGGAGGAAAGCCCGAAGTGATGCAGGTCTCAGACGTTTACCACTTCGGTGAAACCCACGAGCACGGGTATGGTGCTGACAAACCTAGAAACTTAATCGGGGCGAACCGGGATTCGAACCCACAATCATAGGTTTCTGGCGTGCCCAAGGGACGCGACTCTGCACAGCGAATCGCGGCGCCTTAGACGACTGGGCCACCCGTGCCCCCTAATTACTTTAGAGCCTGGAATGAATCAGTGACCATGTGGACAGTGGTCATTGTTGATGTATGAGATAACAGTCAGACCCATCTGCGCTGTAGGTACAATGAATATCTTGCCTTGGGACGTAGTGTATTTCTTTCTGCGAACTATCTCAACATTTGTGCGCACTGGACACACATTTGTGCAGCGCGTTTAACCCTGCTTATACAATTCAAATATTTATTACGCCGCTCCCATACTAAAGGTGAGGTGAAATTTGGATTAACGTCGCGTCCAAGATTATTAGCCCACTGAGATACCATGCCGCAGTTTAACATGAATACCCCCCTTAGACACAGCATACTGACTCCTAGCCGACCAGTCCTTGCTTTAACCCTTAATGCCGAGCGTCAAACAGGGTAACAACAAGTACCATATTTTAACGTCTTTTGGTATGACACGGCCGGGGATCGAATCCCGGACCTTCCGCTCTCCGGGCGGACGCTCTACCACTAGACCATGGAGGCGGTCTCCCATACTAAAAGCCTTATCCAATATCAATAATGATAAACTTAACTAATCAGTATAAAGCCTTCAAAATAGACTTAGGCTCGCGATATACAATGTGTATTCTACATACAGGATATTTACCATCTCAAAACACACTCACGTGATTATTTTATGATTAAACATAATGTCCTGACATCATACCATGTTCCCAATTTAAGGATAGGTTACTTGCAGAACTTACAAGTGTTTGATACTGAATTGGGTTGAAATATACATGAATCGATTACATAAATACATACACATAGAGACCAGCGTTTGACGACATAAAACAGCATCCATGTATACAAGTTGAATACAATAGTCTATCCTTATATATACACATATATCAGTACAAAGACAAGCATGATACACTCTAAGTATACAAGTACAATACAATACCTTGGTCTATACTCGCTGCTGCTTCATCTACTTCTGACTTCATCTTGATATCTGTCACCTGTGCACCAGTTTCACGAAGAAACTTTAAAATGATTTCTTTAATAAGTGTATAGCTTTCCAGCATCCCAATGGCTTTATCCTCTGTTTCATGTCTGAAGACAAACATCCTCCGGTCGATCTGTATGCTGGTCAGGCGTCCATTAGTTGCAAACTTCTCCTTCAACGCAGATAACTGTTGTAGGAATTTTACGTTGATATAGGGGGAGTATTCGTCGGGTATAAGTGTGCAGATCCAGGTTATTCCATGACACCACAAGGTGTGTCATGGAAAGTAACCCCCAGCACACGTCTTTCGTCTTGTGCCAAGTACAGCGTAACTGTCAAAACACATTAAGAAGAAATAGCCCATTAAACGTTCATGGTGAATTTTATATATACTAGCAGATCAAAGTAACTGAGCTTCATTTAACTGAGTTAGCGCTACCGACTGGTTCTGGTCCTGTCATAGACGTCGCTCCATCTCATCCCCACTGGACGTTGTGCACCCTCAAATTCTTCCCTACGGCTCTGCCATAATTGGTGTCAACCAAGGAATTGTCCAAGCTGTTAATGTTCCAGTGTGTTGTTAACTTTCAACCTTGTGTGTAAGTATCACGCTCTCAACAAACCCGATAACATCCAAATTGTGCGCCATGCAAACTAAGAATCATGACCTTGGAATCGAGGAGATGTCTTCATGAATATGTATTGAAAGTTGCATTATTAAATTTTAAAATAAATGTTTTCTTATTGAACTGTATACGGAGGAAACACAGTTGCATTTTTCCGTTAGGGTATACTCTTAGTAGGGATAATGAAATATGTATGTTAATACCAAGTAAAGATAAGTGGTAACGACAAACGTCCTATGCAAGAACATTTAGGTCTATGAACCAAAACATTCCGGATTTTTACACTTTCAAGAAATCATTATTTCTGCCAATCTTATTGATCCTACTTATGATACAGTTGGAATTTGCTTGACTTCATTCATTGTGTGTGTTTGAACTTGCCACGTGACGTCTGCAACGCTCTGAGTGTCAACGGGTTTTGACATGCTGGAAATTGGCAGAAAGCTTGAAGTGGTCAGTATATTCAATGCTTCACAGTCTATAACTAGCAGACGATGGAACAGGAACGGGCGTCCAAGGTCAACGACAAGTGTACAGGATCGATTGGAAATCAGGCTCTACAAAATCGATCTAAATCGGCGAATCAAATTGCTGTAAACTTTCATCAGGCTGCTGGAGTACGAGTCACGGGTCAGGCGATCGTACATCGTTTACATGCAGCTCATCTCCATGCTCGACGGCTTTGTGTTCTGCCTTTCCCATTGTAGACACCTTCCTATCTCATAGAAACCTTGTGTGGGGTACTTCTTTCATGTGAAAATTTCACGACTATAATCGAACCTGTTGGCTCACATATGGTGTTAAGTTTTGTAACCCACTGATTTCCCCACGGAGCAGGTGATGAAATGATGTTTCATTTTACTTACCAAGACTTCTTTGAATGAATTCCTTATATATCGCGACACACTGTATTTTTTCATTAAAATATAACCGCGATTTTTTCTGGTATTTCTTGCATTCACACCCATCATAAGTTGGATAAAACCATTTACCTCGGGAAAAGCCTCGCTCGCGGTTTTCCATTTTCAACCAAAACCGATTAGGAGTGTCTAAGTTGTTTAAAGACGTCAATGGTGTACACAAAGTCGCAACATTGGTAATCATCGCTGACTATGTGCCATGTTTATCGACGAGTCCCAATACACTTTGAACTTCCTTGATAGGCTTGGTCGTGTCCCGCAACGTCGAAGTTAACGTAAACACAATGTTAACATGCGACCTTGCATCACTACGACTGACCGAACCCCATTACATAGTGTGCAAGGAATGCTCACCAAACAATACTATCTGCACAACATACTGACACCCTTTGTTTAAACATATTTTGTTCTCATGGAAAGGATTGGGCACAAGTTATCACAACTTATAACGCCATCTCCCATAGATTTACATGTATGCTTATTTACTTATTTACAATTAATAAACCAAATGACAGAAAGGAACAAAAAGAAATAGAGACACGTTTATACATTGCTCACTCAAACCTTTTGTTTTCTTTATATATGCATGTACATCCCTGAACATGTTTTCGTTCACATGTTTAGGTAAAATTGCATTGACAACCCTTTGTTGTCCCGTTTGCAAGGCATGTGAGTCGACGTTTTGTCTTTCATAATTTTAAGTTATTTCCGAGTATCCCTACTTTTTTAAAGAGTAATTATTATGGGGTATCAATTCCTATATTCATATATTTTACATCATTGCCAATGAGGTTTTAATGAAACCTGTTCTGTGGATAAATGAGACCGAATAGTCTCTTGCGTTGATGTTGTATATTATACTTTTAACACACTGTTAGTAAACATCCTTCCATCAAGGAAACGTAAAAGGTCAAATGAAAGTAGCTCACGTTTATATTTCTTGAAACGTACTGGGACGGCGCCATCTTTAACAACAAAAACAACATGCACGTTATTAAAAAAATAAATGCGACACACCCCTTTCCATATTCATAAGAAATTTCTGCTAAAATCAAAGTCGACTGCACGAGTCTTACTATTCCATGACCATGCGTTATGAATCACTATCAAACAGTGATGATACCAGGTGTTCGCGAGATGGTGAG